AGTTGTCACTCTATTAATTCAATCACTTAATGAGTAATTTCAACATGATATCAAAAAATTTCAACAGCTTTAAATAATTATTTTATCAGTAAGAGAGATCAATAAATTATGTAGTGAAGCAATCTAAAATTATATTTTGAGCATTATAGCATCCCAATTTTGTACTAAAATAATATTTTTTAGAACAAAATATAAGGGATTAAAGCTAACAAGATGGATAACAATCAATTTCTTTATCAGAATAACAATGGAATTTGTCAGATAACAATTTTATCTTACATCGATATACGCTCCAGAATCCAGATTTTTTTTAGCCTTTTAAGGAACTGAGTGAGAATTTCGATCAAGATTTGATGAGCTTTGAATGCTAAGTGATTCATAAGATCAGTATATATAGGTCCACAATTGGAATTTCAATTCATGAATCAACCAAAGGTGATATTATGATGGGACATATTAGGATATATTAGAACAGTTTTTTGAGATTTTTCTAACAGCTGGGGAAATGATTGATACGAATGATTAAGGGTGGTAGAGAGAATTATCTACTGTTGAACGGTTTACTATTCATAAGATTTCCTCTAAGTGGGTCACCATTTGATAGCTTTCTTCACCCATTACTTGTTTCGTTGATTCTACAATGTCACCTATATACGGGTCTTCTAAGTGGGGGGCGTTATATGTCTTTTTCAGATTAATATACTCCTTTTCCTTCCATATGACCATTTTTCCATTCACCTTTTATGCCATGATTTTGTTCCAACCACTCTCAAAAACCACTTGTCTATCCATCTATCCAGTGGCCTTTATAGATTTCTACCCAAAAATATTCGCCATATCTATTTTATTTTTTGTTCTTATCACTACCATAATATTAGGCTCCATTTGAGAATTTTCATATCCTAATCCTTGTTCTTAATCCACTGCCCAACTACTTTCAGAATACTTTTTGAGATTTTCAAAAATATTTACCTTTTCCATTCATCATTTGACCAATTTATATCTAGCTATTACGTTATTCAAATCTTAAATCTAGACTTTTATGAAAGAGCATTAAAATCTACTACCTTAGCCAGATCCACATGTTTCGCCAATTAATCTTGAATTGTATTGTTAAAAATTAACAAATGATGAAGAAAGTGAAGAATAACCATTTATTATTTAATATAACCTAGGCTATATTAAAGCACTACTTTTTATTTTTAATTAATTGAAAATTAACAATCTCATTTTACTATACTTATGATATTATCACATATTCGAAAAATTAAGTATGAAAGTCTATATTAGTCAGTTGAAATTATAAAAAATTAAAAAAGTCATTAGAGATGAATTTACATAAATTGAAGTTATAATTGATTGATCTTATTATAGCTTCTAAAATTGATTCAGGGGCATTATTGTAATTGAAAAAGTTAATTCAACTCTAAAAATCAGCATCATCATTCCAAACCAACTTAAACATTACTATTTAAATTTAAAACTATATTTTATCCATATAGAGAATGAGGGTATAAAATTGACTTCAACTTTAAATGAGACGATAACCGCTATTATAAAGAAATCTTTTAGCATGATTTGAAATTGAAGAAGTAGTATAAATGAGTTTACTTTAAATTTCAATGGACCGTATTTTCTTCGTTAATCAAACAAATATTTGTGTTTATCATTATATTTCTTTAGTTCTAAGCACACTTTAAATCTATTTTAGTAATATTTTTCTTACTTTTATTTTTTGATTCTTTTCGATGAAAATTAATTTAAGTTTCCATAAGCATTGAAATCCACATATACGATGATAGTTAAGATAACAAAACATTTACCAATAAAAACTAAAAATATGAAATCATTCTAATTTCTAGGTTTTCATTAATTGGGCTGGTTTGGTTTCTCTGGTAAGGGTTGCTCCAAAAGTTCTTCTACCGAAGTTAAAATTTATAATTACTGTAGATTTTAATGCATGCTAGGTGGTGGATGATAATAACTAAAAATGCTTGCTTGATATTAAGTACTTTGGTTTGAAATTGCTGCTATTATTTGCATATAGTTTAGCCTCGACCTTCGGTTAGGCAACTGGAGGTTCATACTTAGTAAGGTGCCTTTGACTTTGTAAGACCAATGCATGTCATAAGTTTCAATAAATGATTTGTGAGATCTAATTTATCCATACTTAAAAGGTGTAAAAGTAATAACGAATTAAGTGCCATCTCTTCCATTGGTTACAATTCTCCATATTTGGGAGCAACTAAAAATTCTTAATCAGAAGTTGGAGTGAAGTATGCTCTGAAAGTAGCCTGATGCTTAGAACGATTATTTATTCTAAATGAAAACTCTAGTAGGCTTATTGAGTGGATTAGTGGTAATGATGAGATCATCTATGTCAGATTCGGTAGCATCCAGTTTCATGGGGAATTTCCATACACACCAATATCTCTTTTGATAATCAATTCAAAATTAGCTTTAAATGGTTTTAAGGGAATATAGGCAGCATCAAAATGAACTTCATCGGATTGAATCATTAAAGAATTTATCGCCTAGCATTTTAACATTTTCTGAAATATTTTGGATTTCGAATTGTGAAATTGGATTTACCAATTTTATCAACCCCTGGAAATGAAAACTTAATTTTTTTAAGATGAGATTCTGATTTTAGTTTTAAATTAAGTAAATTTTCAGTTGCACATGATTCAATGTGTCCAGTAATAGGATATCACCATTTAATCTTTTCATTCATTTCAACAACCAACCCACACTTATAAGATCTGATTCTTCTAGGATTAAAAGAGAACGGAATTTAAATTTATTATAGTCCAGCAATAGTTGTTTTCGTGTCATTCTTCTTTTTGATTAATAATCAAAAGGCATAGTAAACTGATTCAATCATAATTTGCACCTAGATTGTATCTCTGAAAGGATTCTTAAAATGGATTACATTTGAATTATCTTATTAATTCCAATAGTCACAGTTGTTTCTGGGAATGACTTTACACATCTGGTGATGCTATTCCCTAATCTTCTTGGGCTCCCAGGTTTTAATGGCCTCCTGTAACCACCCTAAGTCCTGAAATCAGGATTACACCAACTGTAGACCAGGTTTTCGAGCACTTATTTCCTTTTATATTTAATTTTAATCTAAAATAATTTTTAAATTGATCATAACATTCCTCAACAAACCAGAGGAAACTTTCATTATTAAATGGTGAATTAAAGGTAGCAAAGTACAAATAAATAGAACACTTTATATATTTAAAATAATATTGATTAATTGATAAAGGAATCAAAACAACAATATGAAAAGCTACTCTCAATTTGTATATTTAAGGATATAATATAAAAATCCATTTGTAAATAAAATATCATTGTGTATCTCAGGTTCAAGTAGTTCTCTTTAACAAATGATTAGAAATAATATTACTTATGATTGAAAGTTGTATTTCAATTTCCACGATACAAATCAGCCTTCATACTAAGATTTAAGTTAAGACTATATTATTATCCAGTATTTCAATATCAGTGGAATAACTTTGAAAAGAGAAATAGATCACATCTTAAAGAATTCAAATAAAATGTGATAATCTAAGCCATTCTGCAACTTTTAATGGTTTGAGAGCCTAATTATTTTAATTGCAACAAGATCCATTATATAATTTATCATGACAATAATCCTAATTTATCATTTCTCAATAAGGCAGTCTTCTTATCCTTTAAAGGAATGCATAATCTTACAATAGATATTTTATTGCTAATTTAAATTAAATTTGATATATGAAATTATTCAATAAAAGTACTCATCATCGGTAAAATGTTGAGTTTTGTAATATATATTATTTATTAGTATAGTGTTTTATAAATTCGCTTGAGAAAAATGTTAATAAGATTGCGATTACTACTTATATTTTATAAATTAAATATTTTATGATTTTTGTTTTAAAATTTTTTTTGCTAGAGTTGGTTGTCAAGTAAATAGCTTTGTAAAATTAGGTAAGTAGATTGTGAATGTAATTTTTTCTCTTATCAACCAATTTTACAAAGTCCAAAAGCACAATATGAAGAATATTTATCAGATGATTAGATATTATAAAAGGCAAATGTTGGATATGGTATTTGGATGAAATATTAACCGTTTAGAGATATTGATGATCTGAGTAATCCATCAATTTAATTATTATTAGGAGATCGATCTTCATAATAATATACTGAAGTAAATTATGAAAAAATAATTTAAGGGGGGCAATTTATATATTCGATAGAACAAGGAGAAAGTTAATAAAACATAGTTGTTGTATCTGTATATATCGATGATGAAAATGAAGTAATTAAACATTAGATTTTTTTTTCCTCTTAGTCAACACAACAGATTTTATATTTTAGTTAAAACAATTATTTATATGAAGGATTGTGGATTATGTTTTTTGTTTATATTGATTTCAATTAAAAAATATCGATTTTCGGGTTTC